TTCGACAAAATGATCGTTTAGTTCTTTATTTTTGAACTCATCAAATTCGCCATCTTCATACTTTATGCCTAAAGCATCACCTCGAAATTGTGACATTCCAGCATTCATAGCACCCAGGTAGCAATTGTGTGGTGTTGTAATTGAATATCCTAGTACTCTATTATGCATAACCTTCGGATCCATAGACTGAACAGTACGCGCAACAGAAGCAAACTCATGAAAAGAAAGACCATGCCTTGGCCTTGGATGCCAGTTTCGTTTCTTGGCATCACCAGATGGAAAATCCTTTGTTTTTAGATATAGGGCTAAATTTTCAACCATATTAAATTTTTGATCTGGTGGCAAGCTAGTGGTAATCAACAGGAAAATGGTCAAAGACACCACCGTTCCTTTTTCCATTATCATGGATTTAAAATCGGCTCGATCAACTTTTTTAACTTGGGACAAGTACTCCTCCTGACGACCTGATGAGCTACCTAGCGAAGGCGGGTCTGTTTTAAGTACAGTTAACTTGAGGCTGTGACCGTGGCTCTCATTCTGCAAATTTAAAGTAAAACAAGTAACTCTATAGTAGTGTGTTTTCTTACCGTATCAGTTACTGCTATTGGTTTCTGTGCCATTTTCCTATAGTACGTTTGCTACACTGCACTAGCCCTTTCACTAGATGTAGGAAAGTTCGTAAACGGCGTATTTTTGTATCCAAGCAAGGTTGCTAAGGTGTGGCAGATTGGGTGTGGAAGACTAGGTGTGGCTTGGACACTAAAATTTTTAAATTTATTATAAATCTAAAATCTGAGTCTGGTCATGGCAGCAGTGGATTCACTGATAGAAAAATTAGTGGAAGGGCAGAAAGAGCTGCAAAGAACATTCAAAGTCTTAAAGAGAGGAAAATTAAGGAAAAAGTACCAATCATGTCAATGAATGATACTCATGACTCACAGCACAGGAGGCAAAAATTTATAAATGGTCAGTACCCACAGGCACACCTTTTTGTGGATGTTATGTTATACATGTAATGTATAGATGGTCATTACGGTGCATTAGATCAGAGACTGAATGAGAGTCGCAGAACATGGAAGACGCCAAGAAAGTATGTAAGACAAGTACATGACTACATGTACATATGTACATGTACATCTGTAGGTCAAGCGGTGATGCTAGAGTGGTCCCTGGCTATGACTGGGTCGCTGGTCTACTGGATACAACTGGACAATCAGTTTCACAGTTCAGCACAACATGGCTACAGGAACTGAAGGAGTTTAGACAAGTCAATCATTCGGAATGTTACATGCCACAAGAAAAGTGAGAGATACAGTACATGTACAATAAAATAAATAGGATACTAAAATAAATAGGGTACTACTGTAGTGATGATAATGTTGCCTGTATGCATACGTACTTGCATAGATCTACATTATGGTGTTTTTTAATTATGATTTTTCTCTCAGTTTATCAAGACATGCTGAACCAAATGATATCAATGATTCAGATATAAGCGATGAAGACTCACATCCCAACAAAACCAATAATGGTAAGAACTGGGTTTCTCACAGGATTTTAGGCTTTTTTAAGCATAATTGCTTAGTGCTCAACTGCTCATGCAAATTTAATCTTTGGCCATATTTCGCCAAAAATGGCTAAGAAAGAATTCTACATTAAAACCTGTGATGGTAAAGAGATGAAGACAAAAGGTAAGTTATTGCTGTTAGACATTAGTACATGATGTCATTAATTTATTGCTAACCTCCAATGGCAAATGGTTGACGTATACACATACCACCCAATGGAATAGAATATACCTTTAACAAAAAAACAAAGAAATTAATACAGTTACAATCTAAATGCAGGGATTCACCACAAAGCATGCTAAGGGAGCTACTAGTTCATTTTTTTAATGCTAATAACTTTGCCAGGAACAGCTCAAACTTTCTACATAGCATAAGGATTAAGGACATTAATATGTATCAGAAAATGTAATAAAATTATGTCACATGCACATACTTGCCCTCCTGATATTTTATCCCAGCCAGCACATAATATACCACCAGTACAATTATCACGAAACTTGTAACAATATTGCCTAAATAAATGAGCAACCGTCTTTACCAAAGGAGCCTCGTTAAGCTCAATACTAAAGAGAGAGAGAGAAAGAGAATTTATGTCAAAATAGACTTTCGAAATTCAATTGTTGCTTGTATTAATTCCATTTCTCTTTACCTCAATAATTGTAGGTTGTATTTCATCATATCAGCAATGGCTTGGGTATCAGCAGCTGAACCTGAACGACAACAAAATATATATCCGATCGGTGATAGGAGTCAATTTATCAGTCACACGATTAACAATATACGACCTAATATATACACACAGTGCATTAATAATGTATAATACTAATAGTTATACCCTGATGTAGTGTGGGAATCAGCACCAATAATGACACCTCCATCATATTCAACGGCCATTATTGTGGTCTATAGTGGAGTAAGAGGATCATTTAGCTCATTAATGAGAGGTAATATGTTTAACTGATACTTACACCAGTGGATACTGGTTGATCCAGTCCCAGTGCAGTGATGGCGAGACTACAGTGACACGTGATGAGCTGATGGATCAGTGTAAGGCATTACAACTGGAGCAGCCATTTTTCCTCGTGGATAGGTGTGGCTAGTACAGCCCCTCGAGGCCTCAGGGCTAGGCCTGAGGGGATTATTCCCAAAAAATTTCCTATTATTCTATTCCCAAATTCTTAATTTTTTTTGTAATTATTCTTCTAAATTTATGGCTATTATTCTCAAATTATTCATATAACAATTATTATCATTATAAATTAACATTTATTATATTGTAACATAAGAGAAGCCTGTATATAGTCTAAGAGAGAGGTGTCTTGTTGATCGCCAAATGTTGAGTTAAGTAACGAAAACACTCGTTCTACGCTTCCACTAGATGGCTGTAAAAGCATGATTTTCTTGGCTACACGAGACCAAGCTGGCAGTCCTTCTGAATTGCAATTCCACCACTCAATCGGAGATACATTACAATCTGTTCCTTCAGCTCGGGCTAAATAAACAGGTAATTCATTTACTAATTGTCGGAGATCTGATTTTAAGAAAGGCAAAACTTCCAACTGCTGTTGAAGTGAAGTGGAATCTGGCTTGATAAATTGCATCTGAGAAGGTGAGAATAGACAAGCCACTTTAAAGATTTCCATTTGAGCTTTGAAATTCCCTGTTAACTGCTGATCAAAGTAGGTGTACCCCTTTACTATACATTTCCTACCATAATCCATCAATTGCTGTTCAACTGTATTTTC